TCCGTGTTTTCTTGTTCTTCCCTACGTTGTTCCTTTCCCATATATACATATATGTTATATATATATATATATATATATATATATAGTTATAAATGTAAATATGTAGATAGATGTATTGATGAATTAATGCATTCTCTTGTTTTCAGTTTATATATATTTATATAAATAAGATGTATGTATACATATTTTTATATAGATATATATACATATATAGATATGTAGATATGGCTATAAATATAGATATAGAGAGATCTCTACATATACTAAGTTTAGGTGGCCCAACCAGGATTCTTGTACAATATGCCTGGGAATATAGGTAATGTGTTCTGTGATGAAAAGAGAGGGATAAAAGCACAATCATCTAGAAACTATATTTAGATTATTTTTCTAAAATCATCAAAATTTCAGCATGATAAGAACAGGCTGTCATAACAATACTGCATTTGGCGTAAAAAATAAAATATCTGTCTTTGGGTCAACCACTCGCATATTCGCAGGCATGAAGCAAATAAATATTATCTATTTAAAGACACAGAATATCTGCATATAATGTATGTACACTAGCAGGACATATCGCAATTAGAGATTTTCTCTTTGCAGTATGACTCATCAGTGAATATGTGTTTTCGCTGTCCAACGGACATTAGAGAGAGAAACACCTTGTCACCCTTCTGTGGCTCTAACCATAGGAAGATGCCAACAGATGCGACAATGAGTTTTAGCTGCTAGTTTTACTCTTTCCCTCCAGAGCTGCAGTCACAGCCCCATGCTAGATCCAAGAGCTCACTCAGTTCCTCCTCACCAAGTGAACATTTGGGGAAAACCTTGCAGACGGAGGAGTCTTTCTCCTCAGTGGCGACGACTCTAGCGTAGACGAAGGCAGCGTTGTAGGAGTTTGGGTTCATGGTATTATCGCTTAAGATTTCCACAAGCATGTTCTCTTTCAGTGTGCGATCGGATTCATCCTTCGCCTGCAGGATGCAAAACATCTTTGGGATGCAGGTGTCGGTATCCAGCTGTCCTA